TGGCGTAGACGTGCTGAAGAAGATTAGGACGCCGATGAAGAAGAGGAACAAATGCTTGCAGCAGTGGTGTGTATGCTTAATCAATCAAGGCAACACCTTCATCATGCCCCGAATGTAGACAGACGTAGGGAGTCTCGGGGTAAGAATCTCTTGGAGGATTACTTTATCCCAAATTCGTTATATCCTGAATATAAGTTTCGAGAGAGATATTGAATGCAGCCACATTTGTTCCAAAAAATCATACATGATATTTGTAATTACGACACATACTTTATTCAAAAGCATGATGCTGTTTGAGTTTTGGGTCTTATCTCGGAGCAAAAACTTACAGCTGCTTTGCGGATGCTTGCTTATGGGGCATCTGCAGAGCAGGTGGATGAGATTGCAAGGATGAGAAAATCTACTATCCTAGAGTGCTTGGTGAGATTCTGTGATGCAGTGGAAAATTTGTACACGAGGGAGTACCTTCGCAAACCCACGTCGAGGGACCTGCAAAGGCTTCTACAAAAAGGCGAGGATCGAGGTTTCCCAGGAATGATTGGAAGCATCGATTGCATGCACTAGCAGTGGAAGAATTGTCCTATTGCTTGGCAAGGAGAGTACGGGAATCGGAAGGGCCAAAAAAGTATAATTTTGGAGGCCGTAGCTTCATTTGACTGTTGGGTTTGGCATGCCTTCTTCGGGGTTGCTGGATCTCAGAATGACCTCAATGTCCTTGGTCAATCCCCGGTGTTTGACGAGGTATTGCGAAGGTCATTCCCCCCAGGTCACGTACCAAATCAACAATACCGTATACTCTGGTGTGTACTACCTTGCCGACGGAATTTATCCTAGGTGGACGACATTCGTGAAAACAATTCCGAATCCCCAATCTGAGAAGGAAAGAAGCTTACAGGAAAGACGTGGAGAGGTGTTTCGGTATCTTGCAAGCTCGTTGGGCAATTATTAGGGGTGCTGCTCGGATGCTAGATGAGGAGGTGTTGCGGAGTATTATGATGACTTGCATCATCCTCCACAACATGATTGTGGAGGATGAGTATGACTACGATGCTCCAGAGGTGTTGAACCCGATCCCATGAACATGGCGTTGACAAGAATATATGAAAGGCCGATGGGACCAAATGGACTACCAATGGAGCCCGAATCGTTACTTCAGGATGGTCGATTCAACAACCCCATGATTGATCGTTATCAAGAAATGCAATCTTCATATGTTCACGAGAGACGTCAAGTTGACTTGATCGAGCACTTGTGGGAGATGAAAGCCAATCACAATGGATGAAGTCAAGATTAGTGCTTTGTTTGGAATTATGCTTTATTTTGTGTGTGGTGTTTTTTGGAATTATGCTTGTTTTTATTATTATGCTTTTATGTATGGTTTGTTTTGTGTGTTGTTTGCAATAAATTAAGGTTTGTTTTTAGTTAATCTTTGTTTAGATGCTCAAATGTTTTTAATAAATAGTCATATTATTTAATGCTTTTTTTATTAAATAAAAAGGAAACAATACAACAAATTAAAGGATAATACAACAATACAACAATACAACATATGGCAAAGGTTTTTCAATACAACCTAATGGTTTTCATCATTTAACCAATCCATATTGCTAGGTCCGTCGTCTTGGAAAAGTTTTCTTCTCATCACATCCTTTCGTCTTAGCTTCCAATAGGCCTTTGTTTCAGGAGACATATGGCTCGTATCCATGGCCATGATTTTCATCTCTCTATCCTCCATGTCTTTTTCTTGTGCTTGCTGATTTTGAATTGCAAATGCTTCCTCTCGTGCCATGTCCAATTCATCTCCTTTCAAGTCTCTCTCAATTTTTAGTGAGGTGTTCTTAGCTATTTGCTCCAATAATTGTACACATTCATTGTTCGAAGTGCCACCTCTCTTGGCCTTTGCCG